ACCATCTTTCCTAAAGAGAAAAGTCAAATACAAAGAGAATTCTAAAAGTTGCAAGATAAAAAGTCATGTCCCATACAATGGAATCTTCATTAGATTAACAGATTTTTCAGCAGAAAACTTGTAGGTCACAAAAGAATAAGACAATGTATTAAAGGTCCTCAGAGAAACACACTCTCAGTCAAACATACCATATCCTGGAAAGTTATCCTTGAGAAATAAAGGAGCAGTTAAGACCTCTTCAGACATTCAAAACCTGAAATAATTTATTATTACTGGACCAGCCTTACAAGAAATGCTTAAAGGAGTGCTACAACTGGAAACAAAGGGAGAAAAATTACTATCGTGAGAACACATGAAAATATAAACCACACCAGTATAGGTAAACTCATAACCATGCTAGAATACCCCAGTGCTATAATGGTGTTCTGTAAATCATTCAATCCTCTAGTAGGAAGGTTTAAAGTTAAAAAAGTCAAAAACATGAATAGCTATAGCAGTTAAGCAATAAACGAAAGATAAAAAAGCAAGTTAAGGCAACCAAAATACATATTATTGGTTGGGGAAGGGAGAATGCTTATGCAACCAAAGTTAATTTTTTATCATCTTAAAATAGTCTGTTATAACTGTATGACTCTTGATGTTGGCCCCATGGGAACCACAAATTAAAAAATTACAGCAGACACACAAATGAGAAAAAGAAAGGAAACAAAACTTAACACCACAGAAAACCATCAGTCCCTAATGGTAAACAACAAAAGAAGAAGAACAGAAAAAAAGATCTACTAAACAATTAGAAAACAATTTTTTGAATGGCAAGAGTAAATCTTCATTATCATGAATAAGCTTGAATGTAAATGGATTAAATCCTTTCCTTAAAATATATACAGTGACTGAATGGATTTTAAAAGCAAGAACCAACTATAGACTGCCTACAAGAGACTGATCTCACCCTTAAGGGCAAACGTAGACTGAACGTGAATTCCAGAAAAAGATGCGTTATTGAAAGAGAGGCCAAAAGTGAGCTGGAGTAGCCATAATTATATCAGATAAAATAGACTTCAAGTCAAAAACTGTAAAAAGAAAGATCATTACATAATGATCGAGAGATCAATTCAACAAGAAGATAAAACCATAAACGTATACCACACCCAACACCGGAGCACCTAAATGTATAAGGCAAATATTATTAGATCTAAGGGAGATAGAGACTGCAACCCAGTAATAGGGGAATTCGACACCCCAGTTTCAATAATAAACAGATCATCTAGAAAGAAAATAAAAGCTTTAGACTTAAACTACACCATTGAACAAATTGGCCTAGTAGACATATACAGAACATTTCATCCAACGGCTGCAGAGCGCACATTGTTCTCAACTGTACATGAAACATTCTCCAGGGTGGATCATGTTACATCACAAAACAAGTCTTAACAAATGTAAGAAGATAGAGATCACATCAAATATCTTTTGACCACGGGTATAAAACTAAAATTCAACATCAAGAAAAACTTTGGAAATCTTTTTTTTAAGCAGAAGTTAAACAACATGCTCCCAAATAACCCAGGAGTCAATGAAGAAATTAAAAGGGAAATCGACAAATTCTTGAGACAAATGAGAATTTAAACATGTTGCCCAAAAACCCATAGGACCCAGCCAAAGCAACTCTAAGAGGAAAGTCCATAGCAATCAAAAGAGAAGAAGGATTTCTAATAAACAACCTGGGACTGCTGGCTCAAATGGTAAGTATATTTTCAGTTCTTGAGAAATCTCCAAACTACTTTCCACATGAGGCTGAAATACTTTACGTTCACACCAAAAGTGTGTAGGTGTCCTCTTTTCTCTACAATCTCACTGTCATCTGTTGTTTTATGATTTATTAATCATAGCCATTCTGACTAGTGTGAGATGGTATCTCATGTGCTTCTCTGCTGCTTAGATGTCTTCTTTTGAGAAGTGTCTGCTCATGTCTTTTGCCCATTGGAGCATAAATCATTCTTCCAAAATGACACCTGCACCCGTAGGTTTATTGCAGCACTGTTCACAATAGCAATAACAGGGAACCAACCTAGGTGCCCATCAAAGGTGGATTGGATAAAGAAAATACGGTATATATACACCTTGGAATACTACACAACCATAAAGAAGATTGAAATCATGTCCTTTTCAGCAACTTGGATGCAGCTGATGGCCACCATTATTCTAAGTGAATTAACACAGAAACAAAAAACTAAAAAAGGTATGCTCTCACTGATAAGTTGGAGCCAAACACTAGGTACACACAGACATAAAGATGGAAGAAACCGACACTGGGGTCTCTTAAAGGAGGGAGATGGGGGAAGGGCTGAAAAACTACCCATGGGGTACCATGCACATCATCTGGGTTATGGATTTCACAGAAGCCCAGACCTTACCATCGTGCAATATACCCACGTGACACACTTGCACATGTACCCTTGAATTTAAGTTTTTTAAAAATTAATATTCCCAGGAGAGGGATTGCTGGATCATATGGAAGTTCACTGGATAAAGAAAATGTGGTGCATACACATGACGGATATTAGGCAGTCGTAAAGAAGGACAAAGTCATGGACTTCGCAGCAAATTGGGTGGGTTGGAGACCATCATACTTGGTGATCTATCACAGAAACAAAGAACTGAATAACGCATGTTATCAGTCATAAGGGGGACCTGATCATTAGTCATATTAGCACAAGGGAGGGATGGAAACTGGGCACTACTAGAGGAGGGAGGGAGAAGGATGAGGGCATGTAACAACACAGAGCGTACCTAGTCCTAAACCAGGGAAAGTGACAGTCAGTGAGAGGCCCAAACTGCACCTGCATGCAGCCTGCTTGTGTAGCCAATCCTTATCTGTACTCCACATCTCTAAAGTAAGATAATTTTTTTATTTTTAATAAATATTTTAATAATTTTTTTCCTTTTTTTTTTAGAGATGAGGTCTCGCCGAGTTGCCCAGGCTGGTCTCGAACCTATGGGTCCAGGCAATCCTCTCACCTTGGCCTCCCAATGTATTGGGATTATAGGTGTGAGCCACCATGCCTGGCCAGATAAATTTTTTTTAAACCACCTGAAAAAATAATTAATAAACAGCCTGACTGTGCACCTCAAGGAACTAGAAAAAAAGAACAGACTAAACTCAAAACTGGAAAAACGAAGGCGATATTAAGGCTCAGAACAGAAATAAACAAAATTGAAAAGATCAATGAAAAAAAAAGAATTGGTTTTGTGAAAAGATAGGCAAAACGGACACGCTTTTAGCTATACTAAGGAAATAATGAGAAAATACCCAAATAAAAGAAATAGAATACAATATTAGTAAGGATAGTCCTCTTGCTGTGTGTGAGGTCTTTGGACGTGTTCAACCTGCCTAACTGCAACTTTGTGCCCTTTGACCTCCAACCCACCCCAGCAACCACCATACTACCCTCTCTTTCTATGTATTTGAATTTTTTTAAAGATCACACCTGTAAGGGAGATCATGTGGCATTTGGTGTTTGTCTTCCTATGCCTGGATTGTTTCACTTAACATACGAGGTCCAACAATTAGGTTCGCAACCATCCTAGTTAAAGGGATATATCCCTCGCTGCTGAGTATCACGGCAGTCACCTTCGAAGTCCTCCCCTTGGGAAGCTATGCACCGACGTCAGCACCTGGTCTACCCCTCAAAGCAATTTTGGACCTCTTTTGCTGGAATGACCATCAGAGCTGTCTTCATTATTTGTTGAGGTCTGGCAGTTAAGTTCGTGAACTTGCCACTGTGCACTTGCGTTGACAGCACTGTACAAGTTACTATATTGGAACACCCTCCCTCCTCACATGATCTGGCCCCCAACGGCTTTTTCTTTGCATGAAGGCAAAGGAAATATTGAAAGACATTGGTTGACATTCGAGACATCAAGGGTAACATGACGATGGCTCTGATGGCCATTCCAGAAAAATTGCTTGGATGGGCGGACTGGGTGCTGGTGTCAGTGCATGGCTTCCTGAGGAGAGGACTTCCAGGGTGACCGTCGGGATATTTAGCAATGAGGGATGGAGGATTTTTTCTAGAATGAGCTCGTGAACCTCACCGTGGGACCTCGTAATGGCCTCCAGTTTTAACCTTGCTGCAAATAGAGACTTCTCTTTCTTTCTAAGATTAAATAATATTTGTAATGATTCCTTTATTTTCCCAGAAGTAGGTTTTGAAAATATTATTGATGGGTGCACTTCAAGTAAAACCAGAAAAAGTGACATGTAAATAATTCTATTTGGGGTAGAAAGAAAATATTTAAAATTAAGATGATGCTTTAAATTTTAAATCATTGCTTTCCAATTTTTAAAACATTTTTTCAAATCATCATTGTATATCTGAAATTTAAATTTAGCTAAGCATCCTGTGTTTTTATTCGTTTAATCAGGCGACCTTAATAATGCCAGATGCATAATTGGCATTCAATAAATATTTGTTGAACAAATCAAAAAAATAAAGCATTTTTTCTACTACTTTAATGTTCTGAGGGAAAATAGCGCGAAGGAGGTGGTCAATAAATATTTCTTGAGGGAACAGATCTGTGTTTTTGGGGGGGACCCTAAATCATTTGGATTATAAGAGGGCAAAGTGATTTCATATTATGTTTATGGGATTTGAGAAATGTGCAGTTTTTTATTGTGTCCTTTCTCTCTCTAATGGAGACAATGGGACCACAGCAGCAAAGGAATGTACCATGTGCAAGCTTGATATTCACAGCAATAAAAATTCCTGTTGTGGAGGTAACAGCTTAATTCACTTATCTTAGAAATATTGGGATCCTTAAGGTGACTATATTTTAATAAGACCAACACGCAACACCATAGTAGAGACAGCAAAAGCCTTGTGCAAGTCTTCTATGAGAAAAAACCTGATTCAAACAGTAAAGAATGTACAATTCTTAGCGTTAAGAGAAAAGGAAGGCCTGGATCCTTTTCCTTTAATATTTCAAAATCAAATGCAGGATGTTCACAATCCATTGGGTGTTGTGTCCGTCAGCAATGGCCACAAATGATGCTTCTTAACAAGCCACTCCCGAAACTCGATGTCTGTGAACAGTGAGGCTTCCGTGTGGCCCCGGGTCTTTGGGTGGCCCAGCAGGTCTGCAGACCCTGGCTGGGCTCACCTGTGACGACTGGTACCCACAGGGAGGCACGGTGGCCGATGGGGCTGGTAAACGGGCTGACGTACTCCCCATCGTGTTTCTCACATCCCTCCAGTAGGTGAGCCTGGGCGTGTCCTCATGCGGGAGGTGAGAAAGCAAGAGAAGCAAACCCAAGGGAGAAACACTCCAACTTACCAACGTAATTATTTTAATTGTTTAATCTCTATGTCTGTGTGCTAGATTCCTTGGGATTCCCATGACAGCTTGACTGATCATTTCCTTAAAAGCAGGAAGCATCAGTGTCCTGGAGTCAGCAGGAAGGAACATAGTCCAATCCAGAAACTGGAACTTGAGTCACATTTGCTCACCCGCCATTGGCCAGGGCAAGTGTCAAGGCCACGCCCGGAGTCAGAGCAGAAGGAAGTTACAAAGTACCAAGTCACAAAGTTACAAAGTAACAATAAACCATTGTCGAGGCTCCACAGTTGGCTGTGGGTGAGAGCCGCGCCATCTTTGGCTTCCCTGTGCGCCATCTTTGGCTTCCCTGTCCCTGAGAACTGTCACCTCTGTGCTGAACGCTCTGGATAAGCCAAACCTTGAAGACCAACCTATCACACGTTGACTCTAGATCACTAACATGTGTCTGCTCCCTCGTCCCAAGTTGTGACTGCCAAGAAGAACAAAGATGGAGCTTCCATCAAATGCGTTTAATATTGACATCAAACCACCCAATGCATGACATCAATGAGCTCATTGAATCCTAGGTACTAAGGTGGCTTGAAGTACATATGTAGTCTAGTCTCTGCACCTCCGCACTAAGGATTCCTGGGATCAAAGGAAGAGAAGGAAGCCGAGCTCGATGGCTCAGCCTGCAATCCCGCGCCTTGGGAGGCTGAGGTGAGTGGATTGCCTGAGCCCGCGGGTTCGAGACCCGTCTGGGCAACTTGGTGAGACCTCATCTCTGCAACGAATCAAGAATCAGCCGGGCGTGGTAGCGCGCGCCTGTAATTCCAGCTACTGGGAAGGCTGAGGCGGAAGGATCGCTGGAGCCCAGCAGGTCGAGGCTGCAGTGGCCAGGAGCGGCCACTGCACTCCGTCTGGGTGACAGAGTGAGAATCCAACCCAAAACAAAAAAAAAGGAAGAGAAGGAGAGGGATGAGGCGTCTGGAAGAGGAGCTTTGTGGTCAAGAACACAAAACCCAGCTCAGCCCTCAATTGCTATGTGACCCTGGGGTAGTCACTTAATGTCTCTGAGTCTAACTTGCCTCTTATTCACAATCGAGAGGAAGCACTCATTCATTCGTTGAACATGTTTATTGAGAATCTACTTGATTCTAATCTCTATGCTTTTGAAGCGCACAGTCTAAGTTAGACACACTCGGAAAAGATAATTAATAATACAGGGTGAGAACACATGAGGCTCTCGGGAGCACACAGAGATGAATCAAAGATGCTTTCCAGTAGAAGTGATAACTAAGCTGAGCCTCGGCGAGACAGTAGACATCAACTGGGTGTTGAGGGAAGGTTTCCTTTGAAGAGGGAACGGAGAGTTCCAAGCCACAAGGTCCAGAGGAAGATGTTTTCCTCTCTGGTCTTAAAGACAAACTCTGCTATCAGTAGGGCCAGAGTAAAAATGTTCTAGAACAGTGCTTTTCTGACATCCATGGCTACAAATCCCCTGGGGATTTTGTTCACATGCAAGGTCTGATGTAGAAGGTCCAGGATGAGGTCTGAGATCCAGCTTTGCGGTTCTCACATGCTCTCAGGCGGTCCAGGGACCCCACTCTGAGTGGGAAGGGGTTAGCGCGTTCATGGAAGGGAAGATGTCCACATTTAAATTCTCATTCCCTTCTTCTCTCCTGAGCACTCAGGAATTTACCAATGAAGGGTGATAATTTTGTGAGCAGAGCAAATCCGAGCCAAGTCATAAGAAAGTTTCTGGAAAGAAGAAAGGTCTTGGTAGCCAGGCTCGGTGGCTCAGCCTGTAATCCCGCGCCTTTGGGAAGCTGAGGTGAGTGGATTGCCTGAGCCCGCAGGTTCGAGACCGGCCTGGGCAGCGAGACCTCATCTCTACAATAAATCAAAAAATCAGCCAGACATGGTAGCGCATGCCTGTAATTCCGGCTACTTGGAAGGCTGAGGTGGAAGGATTGCCAGAGCCCAGCAGGCGAGGCTGCGGTGGCCGGGAGCGTGGCCACTGCACTCCAGTCTGGGCGACCGAGTGAGACTCCAACTCAAAAAAAAAAACAAGAGAGGTCTTGGTTACCTGAAAGATCCCAGGAAACGGAAGCTGTTTCCCGAGGGTGATGTCATCAAGCGCTCAAGTTCTCTGGGAAATGCCAGAATTCTGTTCCATCACACTCCAACTTACTAACATAATTATTTTAATTGTTTAATCTCTATGTCTGTGTGCTGGATTCCTTGGGATTCCCATGACAGCTTTACTGATCATTTCCTTAAAAGCAGGAAGCATCAATGTCCTGGGGTCAGTCAGTCAGACAATGAATCATTTATTGAAAGCTGCTGTGTCTGGCTCGGGACAGGTGCCAGAGGGACACGCTTGGGACCACACATCAACCAATGCAGGAGGAAACAGAGTGGGGCCCTGATGTCCTCGGTGGCACCATGAAACTGGCATCTGTTCTTTCCTAAAGCTCTGGAAACTCAAAGAGTGGCAGAACACAGCAGATAAGATGACCATTTGGAGCAGAAACTCCTGCTTCTCACCAGGGCCTGAAACCTTGGGAAGACGACCCCACCCATCCATGCTCTGAGCCGCCCAGAGGGTTCTGGAGCTTCCGGGACCTGCATTTCCCAAATAAGCCGCAAAGAGAAGATTCCAGAGAAGGCACCTGCTGTCCTCAAATGTTGCTCTGTGGCCTTCTCGACAGCAAGAGAGGACTTCAACCCTGTGAGAGAGAAAAGAGGGTTTCCTCAGAGGCTCAGCAGATGAACACAAACCTGAATCCAAGGGTCATGTCTACAGGGACATGGGTTTTAAAAATGCAGAGAGAGGAATAGGCCGGGTGTGGTGGCTCAAGCCTGTAATCCCAGCACTTTGGGAGGCCGAGGTGAAAGGATTACCTGAGCCCACGGGTTCAAGAAAAATGCAGAGAGAAAAATAAGATGCTAAAAGTGATTGTCCCATGCTGCCCATCGAAGCTGAACTGGATTTTTTCAAATGTGATATATGTAATAATGGAATACTACGCAGCCATAAAGAAGGACAAACATGTGGACTTTGCAGCAACTTGGATGGATTTAGAGTCAATCATACTCAGCGATCAATCACAGAAGCAAAGAACAGAGTACCATATGTTCTCACTGATAAGCAGACCTGGAACAATTATCATCATGCTATAAGAAAGGGATTGGCGGCCGGGCTGGGTGGCTCAGCCTGTCATCCCAGCACCTTGGGAGGCCGAGGCGAGTGGATCGCCTGAGTTCAAAGGTTCGAGACCCACCCGGGCAACTTGACAAGACCTCATCTCTACGATAAATCAAAAATTAGCCGGGCGTGGTAGCATGCACCTGTAGTTCCGGCTACTTGGAAAGCTGAGGCAGAGGGATCGCAGGAGCCCAGTAGGACGAGGCTGTGGTGGCCGGGAGCGTGCCACTGCCCTCCAGCCTGGGTGACAGAGTGAGACTCCAACCAAAAAAAAAAAACAAAAAAAGAGGTATTGGCAGTAGTGGAAAACTGCCAGGGGAGAGGGTGTGGGATTGGCAGTTGAGGAAAACTGCTAGAGGAAGGAGGGGCATACCTCATCAACAAGGATACCTGCATAATCAACGTTTGTATGCCTAACCCTGAATTGTACCCCACATCTTTTTAAAAAATAGAAATTAAAATTTAACAAAGGTGACTCTTCCTAGTGTGACTGGCACCGCTGGCAAAGTCCAAAGCCACCCCATCCCCCTCAGCATTGGCACTCTGGAATCTAGAAAGCCAAATATTTGCTTGCTCAGAATGTTTTGCAAACACGAGTGGACAAGTGATACAGTTCAGACCAATTATGTAACGGAAAATTTGATGAGGGGTTTCTGAGAAAACTGGTTTTTTCCTAAAAAGAGAGACATGAAAAGAGAGTTTTCTGCTCTGCCCCTCCCTCCCTATCTAAAGAACACAGTCGTGAAGTCTGGAGCTGTGGCAGCCACCTTGCAACCAAACACGATGATTAAAAATCCAGCATGCTGATGGTGGAATGGAAAACCAGGGAGAGCCTAGACCCTTTGCAACACCACCGAGCATAGGCCCAATACCAACGATACTTAACTCTGGACTTCTGTTCTCGCAAGGAAAATAATTTCCCATCCCATTAGGCCACTGGACCAGTTACTTGCAGACCAATGTATTACTTACTGAGATATTCATGTGACTAGATAATGGGTAATTTTCATTTTTATTGTTGTTTCTTACCACTGTTGTCTAAAATTTCTGTCTGTAGTATTTTTGTTGTTTATATATATATATATATATATATATATATATTTACTCTCTCTCTCTCTATATATATATATATATATATATAGAGAGAGAGAGAGAGAAAGTATATGATTTTTTAAAAATTTATTGTCACAAGGCTATGTCATCCAGCATTTGCACAATTGCACAATTTTCCCAGTAGGTGATTCCTGTGCTTCATTCTGAAGTCTGAACTTAACCTGAACTTAACTTCTGGGACATGCAGTTTTCTCATCGTGGATATAGGCCCGTGATATCTACCTGCCAGGATTTGCAAGACTTGACATTGACTTCTTGTTATGTCCCCAGCATTCCCCCCGTCACTTTACATACTAGTTCATCTAATCCTTGACCCAATCTTTCAAAGTAAAGAAGATCATTATCCCTGTTTTACTAACGAGGAAATGAGGTTCCTGGTTTATTGTTCACTCAACAAATATCAACCAAGAACCTGTTGTATGTTAGACAGTATTGTAGAGGCTTGGAAAACATCAGAAAAAAAATAAGATATTCTTGTGAGAAAACCAACTTTGCCTCCATTTACACATTTTTTTTGAGTCAAGGTTTCACTCTGTCACCCAGGGTGGAGTGCAGGGGTGCAATCACGGCTCACTGCAGGGCCAACCTCCTGGACTCAGGTGATCCTTCTGCCTCAGCCTCCTGAGTAACTTGGACTTTAGGTGTGCACCACCATGCCCAACTAATTAAAAAAAATTTTTTTTGTAGTGATGAGATATCACTATGTTGCCCAGGCTGGTCTCAAACCCTTGGGCTCAAGTGATCCTTCCGCTTCAGCCTCCCGCAATATATATGTTATATAATACATACATACATTTTACACATGCAAACCTGTTATTACAGACTACACATATGTCATTTATTAAAATTCTGTCTATAAAAATTTATGATAAATTTTGTATAGCTGGGCATGGTGGCTCACACTTGTAATTCAAGCTCTTTGGGAAGCTGAGAAGGAGGGAATCACTTGAACCCAGGAGTTTGAGACCAGCCTAGGCAACATAGCCTACAAAAAATCTCTACAAAAAAAATTTTTAAAGACTTAGCCAGGTGTAGTGGTGCACATCTGTAGTCCCAGCTACTTAGGAGGCTGAAGCTGGAGGATCACCTGAGCCCAGGAGTTTGAGGCTGCAGTGAGTTGTGATTGTGCCACTGCACTCCAGCCTGGGCCACAGGGTGAGACCCCAACTCAAAATTTATTAATTTTAAAAATTCATAGTATTTATAAATGCATAATATTTGCAAATCTATTGTTTATTTCTGGTATTTTATATGTATTCAAGCCTGTATATACGTGTGTGCATATGCACGTGTGTGTGTGTGTGTGTGTGTGTGTGTGTGTGTGTGTGTGTGTGTGTGTGTGCGTGTGTGCGCGCACGTGTGTTTACCACCACTCCTGGGTACATTTTTTTCACATTTTTTTAAGGTGGTATCTCAGTGTAGTTTTAATTTGCATCTCCTTTTCTCACATTTTGTGTGTGGAAATGAGATCTGGCTATGTTGCCTAGGCTGGTCTCGAACAAGCCTACATACACACACAACACATACCCCAGCCTTCCACCCTGCATGCTAGCCACGCGCTGAGGTGGGCACCCTCGGCACCCAATGGGGACCGACAGTGGCAGCGTGGATGGTCTAAGCTGCTAGCAGAGCTTCCCCCCACTCCCAGGATCCCAGAATCGCAGTCTCTCACCGACTTAGAAGTGGACGGCATGGAGGACAACAGGATCCCCGAGGTCTGGGACCTGGAGTCCGACTTGGTCTTCCCGGTGACCAACCTCCTGTATTCTTCTCGCACCTGGAGACCAAGACACACACGGGGGAGATGGGTCACTCCCAGGTGCAGGGAAATGTCCTGGTGCAGGTGTCGGGGGAGGGGAGGGGAGAGAGGAAGGGGCTGGGAAGGTGGCCACCACTCACTTGGCGGTTGAGCAGACAGTGAATGAGGAAGATGAAGGTTCCCTGCAGGCTGTTGATAATGGTGAACAGATAGGCCATGACCCCTGCCACCGGTCCAATCTGGAAGATGCCCAGCACCCAGGAGCAGCCCAGGATGAAGAGCTGAGCAAAGGCCTTGAAGGTCAGTAACCTGGAGAGAAGACGTGCAGAGTGTGAGGTCCTGGGCGGTGACTGTTGTCCTCAGGGGGCCATGCCTCCAGGGACAGGCTGAGGCTGCCACGTGTCATTTGCCACCTGGGTGGGGACAAGCTCAGGGTGGAGGCTCCGAGCCCAGACTTGGGGAAATAAAATCCCATGGGCGCGAAAAGGCAGTCATCCTCAGACATGCACAGGTACAAGCATGGTTGGGCACGTGTGTTGAATGAATGTGTGCATGCAGTAGTAAAACAAGAGACAGACTCGCGTGTCCAAAAATTTGGGAAACATTAAGTGAATGGTAAAGTCAGCAAAGTCTTTCTTTTTATTGAAGTGAAATTCACCTCACATAAATTTGCCATTTTAACCAAAGTGTGGCAATTTGGTGACATTAAGTACATTTCCAATGTCACCCAACCATCACCACTATTCAGTTCTGAGATATTTTTATCACCCCCAAAATAAATCCTATACCTATTTATCGGTTGTTCCCCCTTCCCCTCTCTCTTAAGGAGAAACAACCCACATAACCATCAATAAAAGGATAAACAAAATGTGGTATATCCACTTAATGGAATAGTATACAGCCATTAAAAGGAAGGATCTATGGAAACATGATAAAACATGGATACATCTTGCACACTTTACACTAAGTAACAAAAAACAAAAACGAAAACAGACTCAAACGACCATCTATTGTATGACGGCATTTAAATGAAATGTCCAGAATAGGCAAATTCATAGGGACAGAAAGTAGATTGTAGAGCCATTTTGTAAAACAAGATGAAATCATCGATAGGTTACAAAGGATTTCATACTGGCTCTGGGTTGCATGGCCTGCATTCAAATTCTGACTGATCCATTTACTAACTGTGGCCTCTGTAAGTTGCTTAACCTCACGATGCCTCAGTTTCCTGGCTTTGGCAGAGGGACATACAATGACAGCACCATACGCTTGTTCTACAGATTAAATGGTGAGATGCCAAGATCCTTAAGATGCTAGGAATGGTCTGGTACAAAATAAGGGGTTTTGTGAGCTGTCATTGGTCACGTGTGTTGGTAGGAAATAATCTCTACGTTATATGGGAAAAGCAAAGTGTTGAAAAATATATACAATATTCCATCAGTTATGTAAAAGTATATCGCCGTAGACACACAGGATATTCTAGAAGGAAGCACACTTTGAGTGATAACAGTTGATTCAGGTGGGACAGACCTGGAGACCTGGAGGTATAAAAAAATAATAATAGAATGTTAATGGGTACAGGGCTTCTTTGGGGATGATGAAATGATCTGGAATGAGGTAGTCATGGTGTTTGCACAACATTTTGGATGGACTTAAAGTCACTGGGCTGTACCCTTTAAATTTTTTTAAATGGTGAATTCTATCTGATGTGAATTTTTTGAGTAAATTTTTGCCATGTGTATGTATTAACTTTGTTTTATCTTTTGAATTAACTTTCAAAAATATTTTAAATGGATGTGGGATTGCATATTGACACAATCGAAGGAAAGAATAATATCAGGTTACTAACAATAAAACCTAGACAATGGTGGCAGTAGGTTCTCAAAATGAATAGAAGTTGAAGAAGAAATTAAGAAAACAAATTATCTATAAGAATATTTAAAAGTCCCACATCTTCAATGTAAAATAATATATATGCAACTTAATTAATGAAATAGTAAATTTCTCCTACTAAGTCATCAAAACAAAAACAATAAATCTCAGTGTTGGCAATACTGCAGGTAAATAAACACTCTCATAATTGGAAACAAATTTTCTGGAAACTCATTTGCAACATATAAGTATAGAAGTATTTCAATCCAATCTAGCCTTTGACTTAGGCAATTTGCATTTAGTTCTGAAATTAAATAACCACCATGTAGAAGAATTTACCTACAAGACTATTCAAGGCAGTATCGGTTATAATAGCAAGCAAGAAACAAAAGAGACCAGAAGCAACTTAAGGTGTGCACCAATAAGGGATGATTTAAATACTGTGTGTTACATCCTGATACAGCCATGCAAAAAGAAAAGAAAGTAATATTGTAGAATAACTTCTAATTCAGTGGGAAAATATTCATGACATCATTAAAATAAAAATATGTAAAAATGAAATAGTATGATTCTACTTCTTATAAATATGCACATATAAGGAAGCACAGAGAAGAATTAGTGTTGCAACATATGAAACACTCACTGTTCCTAGTAACCATGCTAAATAAACCATATCAAGCAAGCAGTATTAATATCCCCATTCTACAGATTAGGAAACTGAGCTTCAGAGAGTCTATGTCACTTGCCTAAAGCCACCCAGCTAGTGGGCAGCTGAGTTGGACTTTGAACTTCCAGATCTAGACCCAGTGCTATTCTACACTGGTCTCTGTCTTGGGCACAATGCACAGCATACAAAAGGAGCTCAAAGAACTTTTGTGAGAAGATGAAAGAGAAACTAGAAGAGGAGAGGAAAAGAGAGAGGGTTACACCTGGTGTCTTTAAGGGTTGAGACTTCGGCACTGACGCTGGAAAGCTTCTGCCTCAGGATCCACAATGTACAAGCCAGGAGGATGGAGTTGATCTACAAAATCAAACAGAGAGAATTGAGAGACTGAATAGAAAAATGGACAATGTCCAGAACACATACAAAAATACCCACGACTTAGAAAGCCAATGCCTCCTATAGCTATTGGCCCAAGATGACCAGGACTTGGCAAATAACTGACAGTTTCTTTAATTTTATCCCTGCTTCCAGTTTAGGACAAAGAAAACTGGTCCACAACCAGTCATGTAGGAGAACCCTGCTTCCAGGTAGTCACCTACAGCTTACTCAGAAGTCAAAAGCCTCCAATCAAGGCGTTCCTGGAGCTTTCTCTCTTTTGTGACCTTAAAGCTTTCCCCTCCTCTGTCTACCTTTGAGTCTAAACCAAATGTGAGTGAAACAAAAGACCTACAAAGTCAAGAAGAAGGAATTGAGAGACTGTACTATACTATAGAAGTCTCTGAATAAATAGCCTTTGCTTGTTCTCATTGGGGTCATCTTCATTTCCAAGGATGCACCCAGTAAGACAGGACACAGACTGCCACCCCGAATAGAGAGCTTATTACCTTTCAAGGCCCTCCCTCAAAAGCATTCCAGACTGGGAGACACACACTCCCAGGCCAGGGTCTCTCCTCCTAGGAAATATTGACGATTGTGGTTGGATCCTCCTTAGTGTGTGGGGGTAGGGGGAGACGGGAGCCATCTTGTACCTCATAGGATGATCAGCCCCATTCCTGACCTCTGCTCACTAGACGCCAGTAATGCCCACCTTCCCAGTGGTGACATCCAGACTTGATCAAGTTCCCCTGGAGACCCAAGAACCACCTGCCCGAGAATTTTTTTTTTTTTCCAAATGAGTAAAACCTCCAGGAGAGTCCTTGAAGATTTGAAAATAGGCAAGATAAACACTGCGCTATCATCACCATTATTATCATTATTCTCATGATTGCTAATAATGTACTATTTATTGCACTTAATAATGATGAATGATTATTATCATATTCATTTGATAACTGATAACTAAGTATTATGTGATTGTATTATTAGTTCCTAATATAAATATTTTGTTAGTGAGAATAAGTAATTAGAATATTAATAAGTAATTGCCATTTACTGCACTCTGGTCAGTGTCAGGCATTGTACTAAGCATCTCACACACACGGTTTGATTCCCACCCCCATGAGGGAGGTCTGGAGGAGAGAGCTTGGCATTTTCAGGGAGCAGAAAGTCCACTGATGCAGCCAGAGGGCTGAATTACAGGAAACAAGTGGAAGGGACATGAGGGAATTTGGTCAGGACTGGGCAGTGAAGGACCTTAGGTGTCAGGGTCAGAGGGTGGGTATCACCCTGATGGCAATGGAGAAACCATAAAAGAGTTTCAAGCCGAAGAGTACAGCGATCGATTTTAGGCTTTAGGGAGATCGCTCTGAAAAACCTTCGCACTAAAAACATCAAAAATGTTGGACAAACCCCAAAAGATTTCCTCTTAAATTTATAATTGCTTATAAGAAAATAGAACTATCCAGTAGCCACCAATGAGAAGAGTAATCATGAAACCAGAATACTGTATCTGCCCCAAGGGTATTTCCTAAAACCAAGAGCCCAAAGCTTTGGGGACTTAATGGTGATCGTGGGGACAGGTGGCTAGTCCTTGATTCTGAATAAGGTAGGGAGACCAGCAAATCAAACGAGAGCCACATTCTTATTGAACAAGTGGACAAAGAAATCTTGGAACACAGGGTAAGTTTTCTGTCTAGACTTTGGCTACTAGTGAAGAGAAGTGGAAGGGGCAGAGGAAGGGAGAGGAGGAGGAAGAGGAGAAGGAAGAGGAAGGTAATGGATGACAGATGAAGGAACCACCGCTCTGGCCTCCCATGGGTTGGGAGTTCACATTTATGTCACCTTCATAATCTGGTAAACTCTCAGGAGAGAACTGTTTTTAAAGCTTTTCCAGGGAAGTCCTTGCCAGAGTAGTCCAGCAAGAGACAAAAATAAAACGCATCCAAATTGGAAAATCAGGAGTCAGACACCCCTGTTCACCAATGATGTGATCTTATATCTAGAAAACCCTAAAGACTCCACACACAAAAAACTCTTAAATTTGATAATACATGAATTCAGTAAAGTTTTAGAATGCAAGATAAATGCACAGAAATCTGTACTGCTTCTATAGACCAATAACCATCTAGCCAAAGAACAAATCAAGAAGGCAATCCCATTTACAATAACAACAACAACAAAAACTAGAAATATATTTTACCAAGAAGGTGAAAGATCTCTACAAGGAAAACCACAAAACACCAATAAATGAAAGAAATTGTAGGTGGTGCAAAAAATGAAAAAAAAAATCCTATGCTCATGAATTGGAAGAATTAATGTTGTTAAAATGACCATATTGCCCAAAGCAATCTACAGGTTCAATGCCATCCCAATCAAAAGACCAATGTCAGTTTTCACAGAATTAGAAAAAATAATTCTAAAGCTTGAATGGAACCAAAAAAAGAGCCTGAGTAGTCAAAGCAATCCTAAGCAAAAAGAACAAAGCTGGAGGGATCAAAATGCTTGACTTCAAATGGGGCTACAAGGCTATAATAACTTTAATAATCAAAACAAAGTAAGGGACTCGGTGGCTCAGTCTGTCATCCCAGCATTTTGGGAGACTGAGGCGAGTGGATTACCTGGACCCACAGGTTCAAGACCAGCCTGGGCAACCTGGCGAGACCTCATCTCTACAATAAATCAAAAATTAGCCGGGCATGGTAGCGCACACCTGTAGTTCCAGCTACTTGGAAGGCTGAGGCGGAGGGATCACCTGAGCCCAACAGGTTAATGCTGGATTGGCCGAAAGCATGCCATTGCACTCCAGCCTGGGTGAGACTCCAACTCAAAAAAACAAAACAAAACAAAGTAGGACTAATATAAAAATACATACACAGATTGATGGAACAGAACAGAGGAACCCAGAAATAAAGCCAAATACCTATAACCAATTGATGTTTGACAAAGTCTACAGGAATTTACACTGGTGCTGGGAAAATTGGGTTGCCATCTGCACTAAAAACATCAAAAATGTTGGACATAGGGTGAAGATTAAAACTGGACATTCATCTGTCACCCTATATAAAAGTCAACTCAAGACGGAGTAAAGATGAATCCTGGACCTGAAACTATAAAAATGGTAAAAGAAAACCTAAGGGAAACTCTTCTAGACATTGGTCTGGCAGAGGATTCAAGACTAAGACCTCAAAAGCACAGGCAATAAAAATTAAAATGGACAAATGGAGCACCATCAAACTAAAAAGCTTCTGTGTAGCAAAAGAACTAGTCAACAGAATGAACCAATAACCCGAAAAAGTGGGACAAAATATTTGCAAACTATACAACCGACAGGGACTAATATCCAGAATTTACAAGGGACTCAACACAGCAACAATGAAACTCAAACAATCTCATTAAGAAAAGAGCTGAGGATGTGAATAGACATTTTCCAAGTGAACAGTAACAAATGGCCAGCAAGCACGTGTAAAAAAATCTTCAGCATCAGAGAAATACCAACTAACACCACCATGAGATATCACTTGCCACCAATTAGAAGCCATTATTGGAAAGGCAAAAATAGCAGATGCTGCCAAGAATGTAGAGAAAAGATAACTCTTTTTTTTACTTTTTATTTTTTTGAGTTGGAGTCTCACTTCTTCGCCCAGGCTGGAGTGCAGTGCCATGCATGATCACGGCCAACCCAGCATCAAACTTCTGGGCTCCAGCAATCCTTCCGCCTCAGCCTTCCGAGTAGCCGAAACTACAGACACAGACACATGCTGCCATGCCTGGCTATTGTTTTTTATTGTAGAGATGAGGTCTCGCCAAGTTCCCTGGGCTGGTCTTGAACCCACGAGCTCTGGCAATCCACTTGCCTTGGCCTCCCAAAGTGCTGGGATTACAGGCTAAGCCACCGAGCCCAGTCAACAAAAGAGAACTCTTTATACACTGTTGGTGGGAATGTAAAGTAGTGTAGTATGAAGACTTCTCAGAACTAGAAATAAAACTACCATACCATTTAGCAATCCCAGTACTGAGTATCTACTCAGAGGAAAAGATACCATTATATCAAAAAGATACCTGGGATGCAGTGGCTCATGCCTGTAATCCCAGCACTTTGAGAGGCTGAGGTAGGAGGATTGCTTGAGCCCAGGAGTTCGAGGCCCACCTGGGCAATATAGCAAGACCCCATCTCTACAAAAAAAATAAAAAAATTAATGGGGCATGGTGGTGCATGCCTGTAGTACCAGCTACTCTGGAGGCTGATGCAGAAGGATCACTTGAGCCCAGGAGTTGGAGGCTACGGTGAGCTTTGATTGTGCCACAGCACTCCAGCTTGGGTGAAAGAGTGAGACTCCGACTTCAAAAAAAAAAATCGGTATCTGCACACATATGTTCATTTCAGCACAGTTCACAACAGCAAAGTCATGGAATCAACTTGAGTGTCCATCAGTGGAGGAATGGATAAAGAAAATGTGTTCTATATACACCATGGAATACTATTCAGTCATAATAAAAGAATCAAGTCATGTCTTTGGCAGCAACATGGATGGAACTGGAGATCTTTGTAAGTGAAACAAGTCAAATACAGAAAGTTGAACGCTGCATATTCTCACTTGTAAGTGGGAGCAAAATAATGTGGACACAGGGATGTGGAGTGTGGAATGACGGACAATGGAGGGATAGAAGGGGGTAGATTATGGGAGCTGGCTTGGTGGGTACAAAACTCCAGGGGTGGATACATTGAAAGCACTGAAAAAAACAGCCTCGCAAAACTGTACTCCCACCCATGAATATATACAAATTTTATTGATTGATTGATAACTGAGTTGAGGTCTCACTGTCGTCCAGGCTGGAGTGCAGTGGCACAATTCCACCTCACTGCAGCTTCAACCTCTTGGGCTCAGGCGATCCTCCCACCTCAGCCTCCCAAGTAGCTGGAATTAGGGGCATGTGCCACCACACCCAGCTAACTTTTTTTTTTTTTTTTTTGGTAGAGACAAGGTCTCACTCTGTTGCCCAGGCTGGTCTCAAACTCCTGGGCGTAAGCAATCCTCTTGCATCAGCCTCCCAAACTGCTGGGATTAGAGGTATAAGCCACAATGCCCAGCCAATATACACATTTTAAAAAGAAACAAAAATCTAAATTATGATGAACTGCTACATTTTCTTTAGGAGTTGCTTTGGCTTCTTGCTTGCTTTCTTGGTTTTCCTTTAAAATTAAGTATTCGGATGGTGTCCTTATCTGATATTTAATTGCCTTTCTTGCAACCATCAAATTGTTGTATAAGTTTACTCACATTGTATAATTCTAAGGTTGATTAATTTCTGAAGACCATGATGAATCTCTTAACTTAGTAATATCTCACGTACCCCTGTAGTGTTCATAGATAACAGCTTCATGTGAAAAAAATCAAGCACGTTAAACTGGAAAATGATCATTTTATACATCTAGGCAATATTAATGATAATGCTAAAAAATTTAATTGCTTCAGCTTGGTTGTGCCCCGTTATAGCTTGAATTGTGTCCCTGTTGCAGTTAGATCTACCCGAATCTCAGAATATGACCTTTTTTGAAGATCTATCTTTACAGAGGTAATCAAATTAAGATCAGGTCGTTAGGACAGACTCTAATTCAATATGACTGGCGTCCAGGTTGGACGTGGTGGATCAAGCCTGCAATCCCAGCACTTTGGGAGGCAGAGGTGGAAGGATCGCTTGAGGTCAGCAGTTCAAGACCAACCTGGGCAATGTAGTGAGAACTTGTCTCTACAAAAAAAAAAAAAACCACTGCGCATGGTGGCATGTTCTTGCAGTCCCAGCTACTTGGGAAGCTGAGGCAGGAGGATTGCTTGAGCCCAGGAGGTGGAGGCTGTAGTGAGCTATGATTATGCCATGGCACAACAGTGTGGGCAACAGAGTGAGACCCTGACTCAAATAAATAAATCAATAAACCAACAACACAAGGAAGAGAACCACCATGAGTGAGAGTCAGAAGAAACATCATCTGGTGGGACTGTAGAGTCTGGATTGGAGGCAGGGAGGCACAGAGTTGGTGTTCAACATCCCCAGGCTTCTCTTTGCCTCAGTTTACCCTTTGGCTTTATCTCCGCACTCCTTCCCATATGATTGCTCTTAGTTTCTATTTGACCTTTTTTTGTTTAACATCTGTACCTAGAAAAGACCGAGAGACCCATTCTGACAGAAGCACTAAGGATGGACATAATTGTCGTCCCTCCCAGGGACAACTGCATTTCGGTATGAAAAAAAAAAAAATTCACAAGTCAAAGAAAAGACTCTAGCTTTGAAAACTCACAAATGAAGAATCATACGAAAGAACTCCTGGGGAGAGTAAGTGACCTCCTCGCCTGTGCTTTTCGCTGGCAGTTCCTGGTCTCCCGGGTCTCCTCGTTCCTCTCGCAAAACACAGCTCACCCAGCAATTTGCTTACCATGATGATGGTGCAAACTGGCCCCAAGAAACTCCAGATGAACCCCGTCTCTGTATTCAGCCAGCAGCTGTGGAGAGAAACAGGCGGCGGCGTCCGCGCTCATCTCAGGGTCCTGACCCTACAATGCCTCGCGTCCCATCAAACGCGCTCATGGAGGAAGACACCAGCAGGTGAGACTCAGAGGATATCCACAATGGCTCAGGTCACACCCCAGCTTCTTTTGGACCATGGTGCTTCCTCTCAGACCTCCCTCCTGGAAAGATGCTCCTGAAATGCCCACCTGGTGCCCAAGGTCCAGTTTCCTCCACGCAAACCTCCGCTGATACACCTTGTCGTTCAAATCTCAGCACAATGTCACCTCCTCTGAGAAGCCACCCCTGACTGCCCTTAGCTACAGTATTCCACCTCTACCCCTGGTGGTGCTCTGGCAGGGCTCACTACATTTTTTAAATAGCAGCTATCACTGCCATAAATTTCCTAGTTACGTTGAAGGCATAGTTGCAAACTGTCTCCACCTAATGGGTGATCAACTACATGAGAACTTGACCTTGGATGACTTGTCCATCTGTGTATACTCAGCGCCCAGGGCAAAGCCTGGAATGAACACGTTATTCCTTAGTGGTTTGTTGGGAGGGAGAGAGGGAAGGAGGGTGGAAGGGAGGGGGGAGAAAGGAGAAAGACAAGGAAGGAAGGGGGAGGGAGGGAAGGGTTGCCTCTTTCTATCACGTCTCTAGGGTCCCTCTGCTGCTTTCACCACACACAGTCATTTGCCATCTCAGTAACAGCACCTCAATATTCCTTTAGCTGAAGTATTCCTCCCCAATTTTTGCTCTCAACCCCCCCCCCCACACACACACACATAAGAAAAGGAAAATAATCAAGTTAGACCAACCAGATGTTCTCTCCTTGGAGTGTGAGTCTTGAGTAATAGTGATCCTGTGTTTGTACAGTGTACAACCTGTTTTGCTGTACATGACATGCCTGGAACCCACAGTACACAAAGAGCTCAATAAATGGTAGCCACCCCTACTGCTACTGCAATGACTCATCTTTTCGTCTGGGTTATTATCATCGTGAACCTCTTCAGGGAGAGAGAGGATGTCACTCACCGATTATGCATCCCATAACCCTGCGGCTGCACACCAGCAGAGATCGCCACCACCAGCCCCGGAAGCCCGTAGCCAAAGGCACAGAGGTGCAGCATCTTGATGTTGCGGGAGCTGAAATAATTCACCACCTTCAGGTTTCTGACCATCAGGAAAAGCATCACGGCCTCCACCAGCATCCAGAAGAAACAGGCGAGGAAAAGGTAGTGCAGAAAGCCCGCGATAATGGCACACCCCGTCTGGAGAGGAGAAGCATGGATGTCAGAATCTTCCGGGCTGGGTGCAGTGGCTCACACCTGTGATCCCAACCCTTTGGGAGGCTGAGGCAGGAGGATTGCTTGAGCCCAGGAATTTGAGACCAGCCTGGGTAACATAGCAAGGTCTGGTCTCTACAAAAAATATACAAATTAGCCAGGCATGGTAGCACACTTATAGTCCCAGCTACTCAGGAGGCTGAGGTGGGAGGATTGCCTGAGCCCAGGAGGTTGAGGTCATGGTGAGCCATGATTGTGACACTGTCCTCCAGTCTGAGTGACAAAATGAGACCTCTACTCAAAAAAAGAGTAATAGAAAGAAGTAGTGATTCCAAGCTGTGGCATTATTGACATCTGTAACACGACAGCTGGATCGATTTCTGCCATGGGGTGGGGGTGGACATCCTGTGTATTACAGGGGGTTTAGCAGCATCATTGGCCTCTAATCACCAGATGCCAGTGGCACCTTCCCCCAGTTGTGACAACCAAAAGTGTCCCCAGACGTTGCCTAATGTCCTCAAAGGCACAAAACACCCAGAATGAGGGTCTTTAGAAAGCAATTGGAGGGGCCAGGTTTGGTGGCTCAGCCTGTCATCCCAGCACTTTGGGAGGCCAAGATGAGTGGATTGCCTGAGCCCCCAGGTTCAAGACCAGCCCGGGCAACTTGGCAAGACCTCGTCTCAACAATAAAACATCAAAAATTAGCCAGGCATGGTAGCATGCGCCTGTAGTTCTGGCCACTTGGAAGACTGAGGTGGAAGGATTGCTGGAGCCCAGCAGGCCGACGCTGGGGTGGCCGTGAGTGTGCCACTGCACTCCAGCCTGGGCAATGGAGTGAGACTCCGACTCAAAAAAAAAAAAAATAGAAAGTAATTGGAGGGACCACTACATCCATAACACTATCAGGGTAGTGATTTTAAACTGAGATTAATCCCAAGAAAGAGTCAACTAGGTGAGGAGCTGGGGGTGGGTAGTGGGCAAGTAATGGGCAGAGGGGACAGCTCATGCAAAATCCCTGAGGTAGGAGCAAGCATCGTGGAAGTTGGCTAGGGGAGAGATGAGGGAAGGTGATGGAGCTTGATGGGGACCCAGCCAGAGAGGTAGAGACCTGGTTGTCGGTCTTGTCTATACCAGCGAGGAAGAGAATCTTGGCCAAGAAGAGACACACGCAGAGGTGCAGGTGGAGGTAGGTGTTGTGATTCCGAATGGAGCGACACAGCAGGAAGGTGGCGATGGCCAAGATGAGACACACCAGGGAGATGACCATGCCCACATGACTGATGACGTACAAGGAGAACTCCATCTGTCAGGGAGGAATTCCACCGTTGGCTTCAGAATGGAATCAAAATCCCCTACTCCCCCCCACACACACACATGCAGAAAAAAGAATTATTCAAATTCCTGGCTTGGGCACTGTGGCCCCCAGAGTGAACTAGACATCATCCAGCAGCATCCTTTGCAATCCGCCAGCACCTGTTCCCAGCCTATGTTCTACTGGGGCTGAATGACTACAAACTACATTTCCCAGAATCCTTCAGGATGCGGGTCCTAGATGTGATGGAAGGCCTCCAATGAGACACATCTGTGAAAGTTTTGGAAGGCAGAAGACAGGCTGGGGAGAGAGCCGTTTCAACTGTCCAGACCCCCATTTCTGGGGACCATGGGGATGGGAGGAAGAGACAGCAGCAATTTCTAACCTTTGGATTACGGCTGCAAGGGGTGACCTTGAAGCCAAAATCCAAGTGGCAGCCCTGTGACTTCAACTCCCCCATCCCCTTCCAGCAATTTTATGAGCACGCAATGACCTGCGTTAAATACCTTTCTGCTCAAAACACCTGGAGTGGCTGCTGCTTCCTGCACTGAATCGTGACTGATACACAGACATGCAGGAGTGCTCCAGCTTCTGGGAGTGGAACATCACAAGCTAAGTCCTTCCCCTGGGACATTTATTCATAGTTTATGTACTTATTTTTTTAAGTTGGAGTCTCACTCGGTCACCCAGGCTGGAGTGCAGTGGCATGCTCCTGGCCACCCCAGCATCAACCTGCTGGGCTTCTGCCTCAGCCTTCTGAGTAGCCAGAACTACAGGCACGTACTACCATACCCAGCCAATTTTTTTATTTATTGTAGAGATGAGGCCTCGCCAAGTTGCCCAGGCTATTCTCAAACCCGTGGGCTCAAGCAATCCTCTCATCTCAGCCTCCCAAAGTGCTGGTATTGCGGGCTTAAGCCACCACGCCCGGCCCATAGTTCATTTTTTTGAACTAATTTTAATTTATTTGAATGTTTTCTGTGTGTTAAAGGTACGCTAGCCACTATCTCATGAGCTCTTCTCTATGACAGTGCCACAAAGTGGTTGTTTCGGGAGGATTAAGTGAAAAGACTTAATACTGCGCCCTATAGAAGTGTTTGTTGCTGTTTTTTTTTTCCTCATTCTCATTTCTGAGACAAGAGGGCTGGGCTCAGCTCAGAGAGGTTCAGGGACTTGTCCAAAAAAACACAGCTGGGAAGTGACAGAGATGGACCTCGAGACTAGACCAGTCTTTCTCTGAATCCAGTTCTCTTCAATCCTAAGCCACACGGTCTTCAGAACAGCATTTAGGGCCTTTCTGGCAAGGAATTAAACCTGGCCAACATAGCAAGACCTCGTCTCTACAACAACAACAACAACAAAATCAAAAAATTGCCTGGGCTAACTCTTTTCTCCTTCTACATCCTCAGCCATGTACTCTAACAGAATCTAGACAAGAATACTCTTCACAACACTGCCTGATCTGCCCATTCACCAAGGCTCATTCATACTCCATTTCCTCCCTAATCCATCAACAGCTGTCAACAGAACAGCTCTGAATTCCTACAGCACGACCTCCTCCTCCATTTGTGTGGTTTAATGGAAAGAGACCTCTGGAACCAGACTTCCCTGGGTTTGAATCCCACCTCAAGAAATTACTGGCTTCATGACAAGGCCAGACTACCGAGCCTTGGTCTTCCTTCCTATGAAATGGGTCTAATATCGCTTCACTTAAAATAAAGAGCTCAGCACACTCCGGGTCCTCATTATGCCTTCTTCCATTAGGAGCATTTTTTTTCTCATTTATTATGGAGCTTCATGGCTTCCCAACCAGTCTGTAAATTCTGCAGGGACAAAGGCATGGCACCGACCCCCTCTGTCCCCATAACTCCCTCCCACAATGCCAAGCACCCTGGGGGACACATAACAGATGTCTAGTCAATATTGTCCCATTGGGTTGGGTGCAGTGGCTCACGCCTGTGATCTCGGCATTTTGGGAGGCTGAGGCGGGAGGACTGCTTGAGGCCAGGAGTTTGAGACCAGCCTGAGCAACATAGCAAGACCCTATCTGTACCAAAAAAAATTTTTTTTGGTTAGAGTCTCATCCTGTCACCCAGGCTGGAGTGTAATGACAAGTTCATGGCTAACTGCAGCCTCAACCTCCTGGACTCAGGTGATCCTTCTGCCTCAGTTTTCCAATTATATGTGCCACCACAACCAGCTAAATTTTTTAAATTTTTTTTTTTGTCGAGATGAGGTCTCACTATGTTGCCCAGGCTGGTCTCAAACTCCTGGCCTCAAGCAATCCTCCCGACTCGACCTCCCAAAGTGCTGGGATTACAGGTGTAAGCCACTCCACCTGGCCTCATCTCTAGCAAAAAAAAATTATAAAATTTTAAAAAATTAGCCAGATAGGGTAGCACACCTGCATCCCGGCTACTCAGGAGGCTGAGATGGAAGGATCGTTTGAGCCCAGGAGGTAGAGGCTGCAGTGAGCTGTGATGGCACCACTGCACTCCCACCTGGGTGACAGAGATCCTGTCTCAAAAAAAAAATCCCATTGAATTTGGGGCCAGATACTCAGGGAACCCGAGAAGATCACCAGCACTGACTGTGAGCTCCCCAGAAGCCATGATGATGGCCATGTTTGCCATACGATTGCAGCTGCAGATGGTTTGCGTCTCGGAGGCCTCCAGGATCTCACAGCCGGAAGACGTCCATCTCCCTGTGCTCCAGGAAACGCAGATGGGCCTCTCGGACTTCTGCTTTGGCTGAAAAACAAAAGCCCCGGTCACCTGAGAACCTCCCTCAAATGGATGCGACGTGACCATCTCAAGGGTCATTGCAGGCAAAGACAGACAGGGTATGTTCTCTAGGGCATGAAAAAATGCTGATATTTCAGTATGCAGGGATGGAAAGAAATGTTTTAGATGTCAGACATGTTTCTACACTGGACTTGAACATAGTTCGTGTTGATAAACTACCTGTGGGCCGGGCATGTGACTCATGCCAGTAATCCCAGCACTCTGGGAGGCCGAGAGGGGAGGACCACCTGAGAGCAGGAGGTCAAGACCATCCTGGACAACGTAGCGAAACCTCATCTCTACAAAAAAAACAAAAACAAAAACAAAAACACCCATAACTCCGTGAATGTTTCTAAATTAATATTCCTTCATCTAACCTAAACATCTTGCCAATTGCTGAATGAAAGACCACCATGTAGAAACAGCGTAACTGCGTAAGACCAAGCTGGTTCCATTTTTTAAAAAGAGTCTTGCTTAAAAGACCCTTTTAAAAGGTCTTGTTCTGTTGCCCAGGCTGGAGTGCAGTGGTGCCATCATAGCTCACTGCAGCCTCCAACTCCTGGGCTCCTAAGTAGAGCTGGGACTACAGGCACATGCCTTAACCTTGCCTGGCTAATCTTTTTTATTTTTTGTAGATACAAGCGAGGTCTCGCTATATTGTCCAGACCGGCCTTGCACTTTTGGCCTCAAGCGGTCCTCTTGCCTTGGTCTCCTAAGTAGCTGGAACTGCAAGAACACATCATCACATCTGGCTGATTTTTAATAATTCCTTTTTTATAGATGGGGTCTCACTATGTTGCCCAGGTTGGTCTCGAACTCCTGGCCTCAAGCGATCCTCCTGCCTTGGCCTCCCAAAGTGCTGGGACTGCAGGAGTGAGCCACCGCGCACGGCCCTGGTTCAACTTTTATGCAACAAAGTTATGAGGTGTTTTTCTTTTGCCATGGGCCACTAGGTTGAAGGTCAGGAAACCTGAGCATGCCCAGATGAACCAAGCATGCAGCCACAAGCAGAACCTGCCAGAGCCTGAACGGAGGAACAGAGACTGAATGAAGAAGTGGACACCGCCAGCAGGATCCAGGACCCATCAGCTTGACCCCTGGCATCACTGCTTGGTCAAACCCAGTCAGAGCACGCCTCCTGGCACCTCCTCATCGCAAGAGCCAATCAGATCACGCCTCCTGGCACCTCCTCGTTGCCAGAGCCAAACAGCTCATGCTTCTTGGCACGGCCTCATTGCAAGAGCCAATCAGATCATGACAAGAGTTAATCCGAATACATCTCATTACCCTCTGATGACAACACACGCCCCAGCCCCTGCTCAGGGAGACAGATTTGAGCCATAGTGCTGTCTCCTTGCTCAGCACTCAAAATCTTGAAATAAAAGTTTCTCTCTCTCTCTACACACACACACACACACACACACACACACACACACACGTTTTGGTGTTTGACTTTCGATGGCATGTGGCAAAATTGGATCTAGTTTGGTTTGGTAACAATGAGAGAGCTCAGTCCTCTAAAGGGAGCATCCGGGAACTGGCTTGAGTTGCTAAACATAGCAGAATCTTGCACCCTTGACAATGACTCCCTGTCAAAAACCAGAGGGCTGGGCGTGGTGGCTCATACCTGTAATCCCAGCAATTTGGGAGGCCAGGAGGAGAGGATTGCTTGAGCCCAGGAGTTCTAAGTTCAGCCTGGGCAACATAGCGAGACCTTGTCTCTACAAAAATAAAAATAAAAAATATAGCCGAATGTAGTGGTGTGCACCCATAGCCCCAGCTACTGAGGAGACTGAGGTGGGAGGATCACCTAAGCCCAGGAGTTTATGGCTGCAGTGAGCTGTGATTGTGTCACTGCACTCCAGCCTGGGTGACAGAGTGAGACCCCAACTCAAAAAAAAATTGAGGGCCTCAGAGAGATAAGGAGCTCTCCACGCGCAGGCAGGGGTCTTGGTAGAGATCTCTTCACAAACCTGGATGTTCTCCAGAGTGTAGACGATTGGATCTGAGAACCCATCTTTCTTCTCCCCAGTCATGATGCCCCCAATAATGCGGGAATTTATCTTCAACTTCCTCTCAGAGTTGGCCCAGGAGGCCTGGGGATCTTGAAAGAAGCGTTCATCTAAAATAGACTCCATGCCCGCAAAGGAGACGAAAGCCACTCCGGTGGTCCCTGTCGGTTTCCCCAAATGAAAAAAGCAAAAGAGAAATGTCTGCTCAATAGTGAATTATAGATGATACAGCACACACACAAACACATACACACACACACACACACACACACACACACACCAAGCACACACTTTAATATCCCACACACCTCACTGTGATACCCTGAGGATTGAAATACCAGTGGTCTTCCAGATCAGTGGCCCTTATCAGAATCTTATAAAAATTCTGAGGTGCTATTACCTGGAGAATTCTTAGCTGCATTTAAGAATAATTTGGGGCCAGGCGTGGTGGCTCACGTCTATAATCCCAGCTACTCCATCCCAGCTGAAGCAGGAGGATCACTCGAGTCCAGGAGTTCAAGACCAGCCTGGGCAACATAGCGAGACCTTGTCTCTACAGAAAATCAAAAAAGTAGCTGGGCATGGTGGTGCGTGCCTGTTATCCCAGCTACTTGGGAGGCTGAGGTGGGAGGACCACCTGAGCCCAGAAGACGGAGGCCGCAGTGAGCCGTGATTGTGCCACTGCACTCCAGCCTGGGCCAGAATGAGACCCCGAATCCAAAGGAGAATTTTGGATTTGTGTTCTTATGGGACAGTACAACTCAGTGGTGGGAAATAGGTCTCCACTCATACGTATGGTGATTCTTTTCCGTTTCTTTGGTGGGCTCTCCCCTTTAAATGTTGATGGTCTCCAGAGATGTGTCCCAGGCCTTCCTCTAGTCCCAACCAGACAGCACTATCCCTCAGGTTCCATCTGCCACCTCCAAGCCGACGGAGAGACCCCTTGGATGTCACCACAGACACTATAAGCCAAGCGCTCCCTCTTCCATCGTCTTCTGTCTGCCTTCCCTGCTCTCTTTTCTTCTTTTTTTTCTCCTTTTGAAACACAGTCTCAATCTGTTGCCCAGGCTTGGAGTGCAGTGGCATAATCCCAGCTCATTGCAGCCTCAACCTCCTGGGCTCAGCCTCCTGAGTAGCTGGGACTACAGGTGCATATCATCACTACCAGCTAACTTTGTACTTTTTTGTATGTGTGGAGCTGAGGTCTCTCTATGTCGCCCAGGCTGGTATCGAACTCCTGGACCCAAGCAACCCTCCTGCCCTGGCCTCCCAAAGTGCTGGGTCCACAGGTCTGTGCCACCATGCCCAGCCTGTATCCCATACTTTCTATCAACGATGTCACCTGACAGGTAACCTGGAGAGTCATCCTTGATTTCTCCTCTACCCAAACCCCAAATCTTTTGTCTTCATGTCTCCTCTCCACTTATCCCTTCAGGGGCCTTAAACCAAGCATAACATCACTGCACGCTCCTGGGTCACTGGCTTCCTCACAAATGTCCTCACCTGCCCCAGCCTTGCCCCTTCAGTGAATTGCTTATATTGCTGCCAGAGGGTTTCTTTCTCAAAAGGTTTCTGCCTGGAGGTCGTGGTCAGATCAACTTCCTGCCGTATGTAGAACCCTCCAAGGTTTTCTGTGCCTTGGAAAGTCCACAGGAGAAAGTCTGCACATAACAGACATCCATGATTCTTTTTTTCCCACTCTGACCCCCACGGTGCTACAGCCTTATTCCCCTTTTCGTGCCATGGACACGCCAAGCTTCTTCTCTCAATGCAGAGCCATGGCGTGACCATCTCATCCACACTGCACCCTGTGCTTTTATACACTGAAGTATCGATCACCATATTCAGCATACACCTAGACCAGGGAGGGGGCAGCAAACCATGGTTTCCAGGCCAATCTGACAGTCACCTGTTCTTTGTCAATAAAGTTTTATTGTAACACCTCCAGACCCACTCATATACATATTGTCTATTTTTCATAATAGCTAATATTTTTTATTTTTGTTTAAATATCTGTGGTATCCATGGTGATCATTCCTCCCTCCTTTATGGTATTAATTTTTTTAAAAAAATCAGGTTTTCACTCTGTTGCCCAGGCTGGAGTGCCATGGCATGATCACAACTCACTGCAGCCTTGGCCCCCCTGGCAGGTGATCCTCCTGCCTTAGTATCCCGAGTAGCTGGGACTACGGGTGCATGCCACCACACCTGGCTACTTTTTTAATTTTTTTGGTAGAGATGAGATCTCACCATGTTGCCCAGGCTGGTCTTGAACTACTGAGTTCAAGCAATCTTCCCATGTCAGCCTCCTGAAGTGCTGGAATGACAGGAGTGAGCCATGGGGCCCAGCTCCTGTTGTCTACTAATGCTTTTGTACTCTAATGATAGAGTTGGTCATTGTGACAGAGACTGTATTGATCCCACCACCTAAAATATTTACCAACTGACCCCTCTGCAGAAAAAGCTTGCCAGCCCCTAGTGCAGATAAGCACTGTCCTGTAGATATACAGTGTGAGTGACATATGTAATTTTGATTTTTTTTTTCTGAGTTGGAGTCTCACTCCGTCACCCAAGCTGGAGTGCATGGCACGGTCACGGCCACCCCAGCATCGACCTATTGGGCTCCAGCGATCCTTCCACCTCAGCCTTCCAAGTAGCTGGAACTACAGGCACGCACGACCACGCACGGCTAATTTTTTTATTTATTGTAGAGATGAGGTCTTGCAAAGTTTCCCAGGCTGGTCTCGAACCCCTGGGCTCAGGTAATCCTCTTGCCTCGGCCTCCCCAAGTGCTGGGATTACGGGTTTGAGCCACCGCACCCGGCCTGTAATTTTGAATTTTAACAAGTAACAAATGACTCTCTAAGCTTCAGGTCAGGTGACATAATTGATTCAAAGTAGGGAGTACAGATAAAATTAATTTTCATAATATAAGTAAAGCATGATCATTTCAACATGTAAATTTGATGTTTTAAATATTAAAAATATATGTCAAATAGGTAACCTTTTAAAAGTATTTTTAAATATAAAAAAATGACTAGTGAGATATTTGACACCCTTCTTTCTTTGTATCGCCTTTGAAATACGATGTGTGTTTTACATTTACAGCACATCCATCTCAACTCGTCTCAGTCACGTTTTTTTTAAATTTTAGAGCCATCGGGTACATGTGAGGATTTGCTACATAGTCAGTCACATTTCAAGTGCTCAGGAGCCGAATGCGTCCTGTGGCTACCCTATAGGACAGTGGCGGTCTCGAGCCTCCAGTTCTGTGAGGCCACTGAGTCAATGTCTTGCTGCCCCAGCAGACAGAAGACTGTCGTCGGGCATGGGCCATCTCTGCTTCTGCTGTCATTGTTTCCCAATCCCCTGGCGCTGGCCTGGGCACCTAGGACATGATCAGTCCCGTGGATTGATCAACCATACCTGTGGATTCAGATTCCCTAATGGTGGCACAGCCGACCTTCATCTCATCCCCCTTGGCTCTCAAGTTGAAGGTCACGTTCTCTTCAACGCATTCTTCTTTGATCACTTTGCTCTCGATATCTCAAAAGAGAAAAGGGAAGTTTGCCTAAGGTCACCCAGAAAGCAGCTCCTGGATTTGGTTTCTGTCCAAGAAATGTACTCATCCGCAGCAAAGGAAGGAACAGACAGGTCAGTTCCTCACGGGGAAGGTCTTGAGGGCCTTGATGAAAGACAGGGATGATCACACCCGATGAGGAACCCAGTACTACCCCACTAGCTCTCTGTGAAAACAAAATAAACAATGAAACCCAAAGCATCACCTTCAAAAAGTAAGTCCGATAAGGCTGGGCATGGTGGCTCATATCTTTAATCCCAACACTTTGGGAAGCTGAAGCGAGGATTGCCTGAGCTTCGGCGTTCAAGACCAGCCTGGGCAACTTAGCAAGACCTTGTCTCGATAAAAAAGCAAACATTTTTTAATTTAAAAAAAAGTAAAAAAATCAGCTGGGAGAGGGGGTACATGACTTTAGTCCAAACTACCCTGGAGGTTGAGGGAGAAGGAACACCTGAATCCAGCAGGTCAAGACTGTGGTGAGCTGTGATCATGCCTCTACACTCCAGCCTGACCAACAGAGTGAGACTTCAATTAAAAAAAAAAAAAAGTCCGATAATGCCATGGCTGTTCCCAAATTTTCCAATGCTCCTAGCTGATTGCAGATAAAATCCCAAATCTCTATATTTATCAATAAAATTTACCTCTTCTTTTCTTTTCTGACCCCTTCTCTTGTTGTTCTCACCACCCTCTACTCCATTTCAACCACACTGGCCACCTCTTTGTTTCTTGAACTTTCTGAGTACTCCCTCAGTGCTCTTTCTCTGGATATTGGCAGGGTTCCCCTTCCTGAATTTCTGTCTCAGTGAGACTTCCTCTGACCACATGATATAAAGTAGCAACTCTCCTACCTAATCCTGACCTTCTCTAACCTCCCCAGCCGGCTGTGTTTTTTTTCCATTGCGGTATCTCTATCTGGTGTACCAGATGTCTGCTTGTGTATCATCTGACTTGACTCACTAGAATATAAAATCTGTAAGCCCAGTTTTGTTCACTACTGATGGGAGCCCACCAAATACTCTATTTCCACCCCTTGGCCTTCTGGTATCCATAAGGATGGAAGTTCCTGGGTTTATGTGGCTGATACAGGAACTACTACCAGGAGTGGGGTGCCATTATGAAAGATCCACAGTGTCTCCTATTCCCAGGCAGTCATTTGATCAGGCATGTATCAGTCAGGAAAGGATCAGACATGCCGCAGTAACAAACAACCCCAAGCTTCAGGGTATTTATTTCTCATTAATGTCTTACGCCCATGCTGAATTGACTTGGGGCCATACTCAGTGTGATCCTTACTCTGGAACCCAGGCAGATGGAACAGCTGTGGTCTGAAACACTGCCAATCATTATGGCAGAAGGAAAGAACATTCTGAAAAAATTCACACCATCAACTATTCTATCCCTCAATTCATTGGCCCAAACTTGTCACAAAATCCCCCCTGACTCCACAGTAACCAAGAAGTACGCTCCTACCATGGTCCCAGCAGGGGGAGCTGGAAATATCTGAAAACAGCAAATGACTACCATAACCTTAATCCACCATATAGTACACAATTAACAAATATTTGTTGAATAAATGAATGACACACCCGTGACACAGTTCCTGGTCCTTGACAAGCACTCAATCAATGAAACAAGTCAGTCATATGATTAGACTTATTTTGCTGTAAGATCAGAGTTTTAAAAACGATTGGGGAAAGGATCAACATGGAAAATCCCATCGCCAAAGTCATCCCTCAAAAGACCACCACCAGGTGTGACCTTGTTATGAGGGGTCCTACCTAAGTATTCTGTCTGAATAGTCTGGCTGGCATTCCCCGCGGGTTTCAGTAAAGCTGCCAGTGTTGTGCTCTCCACACTCTCCAGCAAGACCGTGCCCAGGGTGGATGTCTCTTCCTTGGTGAGTTTGGACCACATGGGTGTTTGTTTAAGCACAGGTGTGAAGCTCTCAGCCGTACTCTGCAAGGAATGATGTGATTGTTTCACTGATCTAGTTAGGTGGCAAAACTTATAGCTATATGCTCCCCACAAAAAGGTGATTTTTGCTGTATGTTAATTTTCAAAACTCTACAACCATAAAAAAAGTAAATGTGAACCCACAATCCAGAACAACACTTCCCATTAATAATAAAGAGGACTTTCTGCACCCAGTGTGTACATAAGCCAGGCACGTTACAGACTCACACCTGTAATCCCAGCACTCTGAGAGGCCGAGGCAGGAGGATCAAGACCAGCCTGGGTAACATAGCAAGATCCCATCTCTACAAATGTTTTTTGAGTGTGCCCAAAATACTTGAAACTCAAAACACCATGACAAAGCCCTGATCGTTACCTTCAGAGAAACTTTGGTGGTTTTGTTTTCACACGCATGGTCCAGAACACTGAAGGTGGTGTTTATGAGCGCACAAAAGGAAACCTATGCCCCAGAAGGAAGAGCATTTGTGAGCATTGGTTGATCTGTGCCCTCAAGCATGGAGTCTACATACTGGGCTGTCAAGTCACTCAGATAAGGTGGTCCTGAATTCCCGCATCTCTAGAATTATCAGGGAAATAAAAAACTCACCATTGGATCAGAATTAGAATCACATCACCTTTCTCTTCCACGGGTACAAGAAGTACACATAAACAAACAGCAAAACCGATCGTGAAATAAAGGGATGGAGAAACATGTGAGCCAACAGTGGTCCAAAAGGAATATTATTTAGGCCTAGAAAAGAATAAAGTTCTGACACAGGCTAAAGTATGAATGGGCCCTGAAAGCGTCGTGCTTAGTAAAAGAAACCAGAAACAAAAGAACCAATATTGCATGGTTCCATTTATATGTCCAGAATAGACAGAACCCTAGAAACAGAAAGTTAGCTAGTGTTTGCCATAAGCTGGGAGGAAGGGAGACTGGGGAGTGAGTGATGGCTTAGTGGGGACAGGGTTTTCTTTTTGGAGTGATGAAAATATTCTGGAGCCGGGCTCGGTGGCTCAGCCTGCAATCCCAGCGCTTTGGGAGGCTGAGGTGAGTGGATTGCCTGAGCCTGCAGGTTCGAGACCCGCCTGGCAACTTGGCGAGACCTCATCTCTACAATAAATCAAAAATTAGCCGGGCGTGGTAGGGCGCACCTGTAGTTCCGGCTACTTGGAAGGCTGAGGCGGAAGGATCGCTGGAGCCCAGCAGGTCGAGGCTGCAGTGGCCGGGAGCAGCCACTGCACTCCAGTCTGGGTGACAGAATGAGACTACCACTCAAAAAAAAAGAAAAGAAAAAGAAAATATTCTGGGACCGTTAGTGATGGTTCCACAACATAGTGAAGGTGACAATTGTTCACTTAAGATGTCTAAAATGAGCGGCCACTGCACTCCAGTCTGGGTGACAGAGTGAGACTCCGACTCAAAAAAAAAAGATGTCTAAAATGGGTCACGCGTGACGGGGCAAGCCTGTAATCGCAGCACTTTGGGAGGCCATGGTGGGAGGATTGCTTGAGGCCAGGAGTCTGAGACCAGCCTAAGCAACATAACAAGACCCTGTCTACACAAAAAGTTAAAAATCATCCAGGTGTGGTGGTGCACACCTGTAGTCCCAGCTACTCAGGAGGTTGAGACAGGAGAATTGCCTGAGCCCAGGAGTTCAAGGTTGCAGTTAGCTATGATCATGCCAATGCACAACAGCCTGGGTGACTAAGTGGGGTCCTGTCTCCAAAAATAAAAACAAAATGTCGAAAACGGTGAGCCTTATGTGTATTCTACCACAATTTAAAAAGTAAAGGAAAGTCCAAGGTGCATGGAAATTCCAAAGTTAATTTACATGTTCATATTTAGAATAGTGGCATCCACTACACTTTCCTCATGGCAATGACTTTATTAGGTAGTCAGGAGGTCCAAGTTCCTCTTCGCCTGACTGGCTGTGTATCACATCACCCACATCAGGTGCAGCACTAACACTGTCACTGGTGGGGAGACTCCGATATAGTCTCCCTTTCATTTTTTTTTTTTTTTAGTAAAATAATCCTCAGGTTTTAGATAGACAAATATCCTTTTTTCCCAGCTTGCCTTGCAGCTAGGTGTGACCATGTGACTACTTTCTGGCCAATCAGAGAAGAAGTGATGCTGGTCATTGACTTCAAGCAGAGGACTGTGCCTTTCACTTTCCCTTCTCTCCCTCCCACTATCTGGAATGCAGGTGTGATGGCAGGAGCTGGAGCAGCCATCTTGGACCACAAAGATGCGTGGGTGCTGGGTTGATGACGGCCGGGCATTATAAGCCTATTATGTCAGCTCTGCACAGCTTACACTCAAACGTCTGCAGAGAAGACAAACAAACTGCTCTCTGGTTTAGGCCACTGTTTTTTTTGCCTTTGTTAATACCGGAAAGCCAACATCCTACCTAAGTGGCTTCTAGGAAAACCTCAAGAACTAGATAGCTTCAAAACTACTTACATATTTAGGTTGCATGGCACCTCCTTCTTGGCACTGCTGGACCTGCTCGCTTTGGGGCATCATATCTTCCCTACACTTGAAGGGAACCCCTAGGAAGGAAACAGAAAACAACCAAACCAAACTTCAACTATGGCAAGATATGATTTAAAGGCAAGTCTGATTATTCCCCCACTTCACTTAAAATCCGTCCATTGGGCCCATAATTCCAGCACTTTGGCAGGCCAAGGAAGGAGGATTACTTGAGCCCAGGAGTTTGAGACCAGCCAGGGCAACATAGTGAACTCCATCTCCACCAAAAAAAGTCAAAAAATTAGTGAGGCATAGTGGTGCATGACTGTAGTCTTAGCTACTCAGGAGACTGAAGTAGGAAGATCACCTGAGCCCAGGACGTTGAGATTGCGGTGAGCAGTGATCATACCATTGCACTCCAGCCTTAGTGTCGGAGTGAGACCCCGACTCGAAAAAACAAAACAAGAAAAAAACTATAAAATGACCAGGTGTGGTGGCTCACACCGGTGATCTCAACACTTTGTGAGGCTGAGGTGAGAGGACTGCTTGGGCTTAGGAGTTTGAAACCAGCCTGGTCAAATGATGAGACTTCACCTCTAAAAAAAAAAAGGGAAGGAAAGAAAGAAGGGAGGGTAGAGAGGAGAGAGAGAGAGAGAAAGAGAGAGAGAGGAAGAAAGGAAGGAAGGCTGTAAGGAGAGAGAGAAGAAAAGAAAGAAAGAAAGAAAGAGAGAAAGAAAGAAAGAAAGAAAGAAAGAAAGAAAGAAAGAAAGAAAGAAAGAAAGAAAGAAAGAAAGGAAAGAAAGATGCATCCATTGCCATAATACACAATGGTGAAAACAGACAACCACAACTACACACTACAACATCACGGACTCTAAGAAACATGACCATGAGTGAGAAAGAGCAAATCAGAGAGGATTCTACATAGTATGACACCATGTTTACAAAGCCCCAAAGCAAGCAAAACTAAGAAGACATTGTACATAAATGGGGAAATATTTTTTAAGTAGGGAACTAATAAACATGAAACTTCAAGTGGTTCCCTCTGAACAGGACAGAAGTGGAGAAGGAGCATGTAGGAGACACAATGGCATTGAGGATGTTCTCATTTTTATGTTGAGAAGAGCCTCAGAGACATTCATTCCATTGTTATCTTTCATTGTCCAATGAGATGTGTATGTATACATATATATATATATATAATTTTTTTTTTTTTTGAGTTGGAGTCTCACTCTGTCACCCAGGCTGGAGTGCAGTGGCCACTCCCAGCCACCGCAGCCACGGCCTGCTGGGCTCCGGCGATCCTTCCGCCTCAGCCTTCCAAGTAGCTGGAAATACAGGAGCACGCTACCACACCTGGCTGCGTTTTGATTTATTGTAGAGATGAGGTCACGTCAAGTTGCCCAGGCGGGCCTCAAACCCGCGGGCTCAGGCAATCCACTCACCTCGGCCTCCCAAAGGCGCGGGATTACAGGCTGAGCCACTGAGCCCGGCTGCATATATATTTTTTATGCGTCAAATAATCTATACTTTAAAAGTTTTAAGCTGTTCAAGATTCCTCATTGTTCTTGAGGGGAAAAAAGACTCTGGGTTGGGTGTGGTGGCTCATGCCTGCAATCTCAGTGCTTTGGAAGGTTGAGGCAGGAGGATCACTTGAGGCCAGGAGTTTGAGCCCAGCAAGCAAGACTCTATCTCTACAAAAATTAAAGAAAAAAATTAGTCAGTCATGGTGGCCCACGTCTGTAGTCCCAGCTACTCAGGAGGCTGAGGGAGGAGGATCACTTAAGTCCAGGAGTTTGAGGTTACAGTGAACTATGATTTTATCACTGTACTCCAGCCTGTGTGACAGAGAGAAACCCTGTCTCTTTAAAAAAAAAAGCAGGTGCAGTGGCTCAGCCTGTAATCCCAGCACTTTGGGAGGCTGAGGTGAGAGGATCGCTTGAGCTGGGGGGTTCAAGACCAGCCTGGGCAACTTGGCGAGGCCTCATCTCTACAATAAGTCATAAAAACTAGCCAGGCATGGTGGCATGCACCTGTAGTTCCAGCTACTTGGAAGACTGAGGTGGAAGGATCGCCTAAACCCAATGGGTCAAAGCTGCAGTGGCCATGAGCGTGCCACTGCACTCCAGCCTGGGTGACAAGAGACCCCAACTAAAAAAAAAAAAAAACTCCAAAATTCTTCACTAAGCACACAGCGTCCTGCAGAATCTGATCCCTGCCCTCTTCACCAGATACATCTGATGTCACTTCCCCTTATCCTTAAGTACATGAGCCTCAGGACATTTGCACCTGCTACCGCCTGGAGCACTGTGATCTCCACTCTTCATCCAGCAAACTCCTACTTCTCTTTCAAGTTTCCAATTAAATACCATTTTTCTTGGATCGTATTTAATATCCCATTTGCCACTTAAAGGCTCAGTATGCCTTCTCAGCTGTTGCACCCACCATTGTCATCATTAAATATTTTTGTGTGGGCTCCCTTGATCCTTCCCAAGACTACAAGCTACGTGAGGACAGATGCCATGCTCATCATATCCAGGATGGAATGCTCAGCACTTAGTGCCGGGACCTGTTTAATTAATCAATTAATAGGTGCTCCAAAAGTCATTTTTCGAATGAGCAAATTAGCACATGAGGAATTGAATGACTAAAAATAAAAAAGAATGATCTGACTGAGGTGAAAGCAAGAGAAAACGCCAGGGGTGGCTAGATAAGAGCTTCATAACCAAAGCAAGACACAGATTTCATGGCCAAGACAGACCAAGGAGATTATTACTTTTGCAGCTGAAGTTGCCATATTTCTGGGAGCCTTCTGGATGGGGACGGAAGCCCACGATGCAGCCACAGCTGTAGGAGCTCGGGGTGTTGGTGCAGACAGAATTTGGACCACATGGCGACACATCCTGGGAGCACTCGTCAATATCTGCAAAGAACCGGAGCATATCAAGAAACCCAGAGGAGGAACACGGAAAAACATCTTCTCAGGCAAAGCCTCTGCTCACCTCTGCATTCCACTTCTGGGTCTGTGAAGTTCAGCTGCCCCTGACTTGGGAAAAAGCCAGGATGGCAGGTGCAAAAGTAGCTCCCAGGAGTGTTGGTGCATGTTGCATTCCCAGGGCACATTTCAACACATTCATCAATATCTGTGGGGAACAGAATGGGTGTGACACAGAGTGGGTGAATGGTCCGACAGAGTTGGGCTTCCCCTTCCCAAGTACAGAGGCATGTTTCACTAGAAAATGGCGGCCCAGCCAGGGACTACATTTCCCAGAACCCCTTGCATCTAGGTGGGAGCATGTGATTCATTTTCACCCATGGGATATGCGGGCTGTGATAGGTGACACTTCCAGGCCAAGGTGGTGGTAAAAGAAAAATATTTTTTCTTAAATTTAAATTCTTTCAATGTAACAGAGTTTGCCACGCATGGTGGCTCATGTCTGTAATCCCAGAACTTTGGGAGGCCAAGGAAGGAGAATTACTTAAGGCCAGGAGTTCAAGACCAGCCTGGACAACACAGGGAGACCTTGTTTCTACCAAAAAAAAAAAAAGTTTTTTCACACGAGCCAGGCATGGTGGTGCATGTCTATAGTCCCACCTCCTCGAAAGGCTGGGGAGGGAGAATTGCCTGAGTCCAGGAGGTCAAGGCTGTGATGAACTGTGATCCTGTCACTGCACTCCAGCCTAGGTGACAGAGGGAGGCACTGACTCAAAATAATAATAATAATAAATAATAAATTTAACAGAGTTTAACTGAGCAAAGAATGATTTGCAAACTGGGCAGCCTCCTGAACCAGAGCCGGCTCAGAGACTCCAGCACAGCCACGGGGTAGAAGAAGCTTTGCAAAAAGAGAAAGAAAAATGATCTACAGAAAACAGAAATGAGGTACAGAAATAGCCAGATTGGTTACAGCTTGGAGATTGCCTTATTTGATCCCCGTTTGAACAGCTGGCCACCTTTGATCGGCCATAACTCAGTGATTGACACAAAAGCAGACTACTGTCTGTCTATATACCCGGTTAGGTTACAGCAAAAGGTTACAGAGAAACATCCAGGTCAACCCAAAACATGCAAGGAGGCATCTTTAGTTAGACTTAATATAACAGTGGTCAAGAAGTGGGTGTCATTTCTCTTTCCCCTCCACTAGCTGGGACCAGGGACTTTAAAGGATGGAAGAACCAAAAAATGGAGACAGACTGGGTCCCTTTATCACCACGTGGAGGGAAGCTGCCCAGCAGCCAAGTATATCCATGCTGGATTGTTACGTGAGTGAGAAATGTCTATTATGTTAAGCTAGTCATGCTCACCTGGGGGCGATTTGTCCTCCCAGGGAGCACTGAGCAATGTCTGGAGACATTTTTGGTTGTCACAACATGGGGGTGAGAAGAGTGCTACCAAGATCTAGTGAGTTAGAGCCAAAGAGGCTGTTGTTTGTTCCAGCCACCCTAGAGCCCCAGATGACACTATGTGAAACAGAATCAGGTGTTCAACATGTAGACTCTTGAGAAAGAACAAGGGGTCATGGTTATAAGTCACTATGTTTCGGGACTGGTAAAGTCTGGGTGGTTGTCTCTTCAAAAGTTCGTGGTGAAATGTGACCCCAAATGTTGAAAGTGGGAAAGTGGAGTCTAGTGGGACGTGCTCTGGTCATGGGAGTGGCTTGGTACCGTCTCACCGTAATGAGTGAGTTCTCACCTTATGAGTTAGAACTGATTGTTTAAAAGAGCCTTGCACCACTTCATCTTCTTCTCTGTTTCTTGCTCTCACTCTCACCACGTGACACACCTGCTCCCTCTCTGCCTTCTGCCATGAGGAAAAGCTCCCTGAGGCCTCACTAGAAGCTGAGCAGATGCCAGTGCTAGGCAGAACTGTGAGCCAAATGAACCTTTTTTCTGTATAAATTACCCAGCCTCCAGTATTTGTTTATAGCAATGCAAAATATGCTAATACAAGGATGGTTTGATATCCATTGAGAAGCCCTCAGCACGGCTGGGAGAATTACCTGTACATCCAAAACTCTCTGGATCCTTAGAGGTTTGAAAATCAGGTGAAAAGAATCCAGGCAGGCAGGAACAATTGTATTTTCCCAGAGTGCTGATGCAGACAGAATTGGGACCACAAAGAGTTGAGTTCCTGGAACATTCATCTACATCTAAGAAAAAAGACAGTCTATATCAAGAGAATGAAGGAAGCTGAGGCTACATCACGAACAGACACACTTTCATCATTCAGAAAGCAAATGTTTAGAGGTGTATCCATGACCCATGAAAAACTTCTGAGAAGGCTCCCCAAGACTCAGGGTAAAATCCAAACTCCTCATTCGATGTACAAAGGCTTGAGAACTGGTCCCAACCAAGCACACCAACCTCATCTTTCACTTCTAATCCCTTCATGGTTTATAATCCCAATGCATGAATCACCTTGTTGTCTCTCTCCTCTGTCCCCCCAGCCTTGACCTTGCATGTCCACCTCTTACCCTGATAAATCTCAATATCCCCCCTACAAATCACTATATTATGAATAGCAAAAACAAAGGCACTGGAGGAGTTGAGAACAGGGACACTCTGGGTTCAAAGTCTGGCTCTGTCTCTTACAGCTGTGTGTTCCTGGGAGCTATAGATTGAAGGGTGCTGAAACCAAGGGGTTAATTGAATCCAATCTGCTTGTCTTGCTTGCTTTTCTTATTATGTTTCCATGAAGCTGAAGGTTGTGGTAACTGAAGGCTTCTCCTCTGAAACTTAACCTTCATAAACAACTTTATAGATGACATTCATAGGTCACCGTGGTAATGGGGACTTCAGTTGTTAAGACCACTGACAATTCAACTGGGTCCTTAAGTGCCCCAGAGGTGGCATTTTGGCAACAGAGGGCTAAAAATACTCTCAAATCATACTAAGGCCCCTATTTTCCGTACCAAAGTCCTATGAAATGCCATGAACCCCTGACTACACTTGCACACAGAAATTGGTTACTTCATTTTTTTTCCCACCACCAGTCATTTTTCCTCACACCTTAGACCATCCACTTCTTTAAGTCATAAATATCTCCTACATCTTATCTTCAGGGAGGTGGATTTAAGAGTTGTTCACTTGGTGGCCTTGCAAATAAATCTTTTCTCTTTTGTAAAACTCGTGTCCCTGTGATTGATTTGCTGTGCTCAGGCAGAATGAACTTGGCCAGTAAGAATGCCCCCCTTCCAAATTCATACAAGGGGGGGACCAAAAAAACCCAAAATTCATTGATGAAAATATTGTGCATTTATTCTTATTCATAAGTTGTGTTCAAAATACTCTCTGTGTGATGTAATACACCCACTGAGAGCTTTTTTGAACGTGTCAATTTTGATGCCTTTTAGTACATCAAAATATTTGCTTTTGAGAACTTTTTTTTTATCTGGGGAAACAAAAAGTCGCTCAGGGTGACATCAGGTGAACAGGAAGGGTGGGGCACGGGGATCGTGCTGTTTTTGATCGAAATTCCACTGCCTCATATTGTTCGTGTAAATCACCCATCATGAAAAAGATCAAAAGTGCTGAAAGAATTGCCCCCAAAAAATTCACTGAAGCTGAACGCAGCCTCTCACAACAATGCTAGCTGGAACACTGATACCAATGGGTTCCCAGAACACTTACCTAGCAGGGAAAGCCCATCCTACAAGGGGCCTGCCCTTCTAAGATAATTCTGGGTTTTGGGGGTGGGTCCCTCCTCATATGTTGAAGCTCCAACCCCCAATGGCGTGGTATTTGGAGAAGTTATTCACTGCTGTATCCCCGATACCTAGAAGAGTCAGTACTCAAAAGACATTTGATGAATTCATGAATGAATGAATGAATGAATGATCCTTGGCTTCAGATTTACAGATGAGCGTCTTAAACTCAGCCAGGACCCACCCTGACCCCCTTACCTCTGTCTTTGGGCACAACCTCAGACCTGACTCCCCAATGGATACCCCACCTACCTTCACACGATCCTTCCAAGTCCTGGAAACTCAGGTTTCCACTGCCAGATTCAAAATCTGGGTTGCAGAAACAAGAGTAGTTGCCGATGGTGTTAGCACATGTCGCATGTTCCGGACAAGCGCTGGGGTTGGTGCATTCATCCACATCTGATGAGTAGAAGAGAAAACCCAGGTAAATCAGGACTCGCAGACTAGAGGCTGCAGATGGAAGTGACCCAGTCGGTGTGTCATATGTGGCAGGCAGGGCTGATCCTTCCCAGACCCGGGTTCTCCCCTTCTTCCTGAGCACACAGTCAGACCTTTCTCCCAGCCCCCTCTTGAAGTGAAGCATGGCCATGAGAGTTTGAGATCAGCCTGGGCAACCTAGCAAAGTCCTGTCTCTACAAAAATTTACAGATGAGCCAGGCTTGGTGACGGAAGCAGGAGGGTCACTTGAGGCTGGGAGTTTGAGGCGTGGTGAGCCATGGTTATAACACTGCATTCCAAACTGGGTGACAGAGCGAGACCCCCAACTCAAAAAAAAATCTCTGAACATTACCAATGGCCCCTGATGACACTGGAAACAAGATCATGCCATCATACCCAAGTACAACTTGATCCTCTGTTTGACTCATAGTGGCCCAACAGGAGTTCAGATCCCAGCTCTTCGGTTTAATGGTTGCCTGTCCTTGGTAAAGCCACTTCACCTCTCTTAGTCCCCATCTTCTCATTCCTAAAATGAGAAAATCCCTCTGGCTGGACATCGTGGCTCATGCCTGTAACCCCAGCACTTTGGGAGGCTGAGGAGGGAGGATCGCCTGAGCTCAGAAGTTCAAAACCAGCCTGGACAACACAGCAAGATGTCGTCCCTACAAAAAAAATTAGCTGACTGTGGTGGCGCCTGCTTGTAGTCCCAGCTACTCAGGAGGCTGAGGCTGGAAGATCGCCTGAGCACAGGGGGTCGAGGTTGCCGATGAGTTGTCATCCTGCCACAGAGCAAGACCCCAACTCAAAAACAAAATACGAAAAACCCTTCTTTGCATGACTTGCCAGGGAGCTGCACCTTAGTTAGTAGGTTGATGACTAAGAGTGGGTCCTTCATACCTTCACAGGTGGAGTTGCTGGAGAAAAACCCCGCCTGGCAGTTGCAACTGTAGCTGCCCACAGAGTTGACACAGTCAGAATGCTCAGGGCAGGACCCAGGGCGGAGGCACTCGTCGAAGTCTGAGAGGCAGTGAAGGAGGGTGAGAGAGTGAATGTCTACCTTTGGAGGTGCGAGAGTCCAGCCCTTTGGTGGGTGTCCACACCCGGGAGACGGGAGCATTACCTGTGCAGAAGAAGTTCCCCGGCCGTCCCGGGGTCCAGCCATCTCCAGTGGGAGAAGAGAAACCAGGAAGGCAGCTGCATCTATACCTCCCACGCAAGTTTGTGCAGACCGAGTAGGGTCCACAGCGCGAGGGGCTTTGAGAACATTCGTCAACGTCTGGGCAGAGAAAGAGTCGGAGCTGCACGTTTGCCTCATGCCGGGTGGCAGGTTGAGCCTTGCAAAGCTTGTGGAAACACGGTCCCCTGTCCCATGTGCTCTTTGTTCAATATGACCTCGGTCACTCCTTCCACCAAGCGGCGGGGTCTGTGCTCCCTCCCGCGAATCTGAGTGGGCACGTGACTGTGGCGGAGGTGACCCTGGGTCGTCACGACCCCCGCCGGGTTCTCTTGAGAGGCTCATTTTTGGAACTGCCACGTAGTGAGGAAGCCCAAGCACGCATGAATGTTACAGAGACCGGGAGTAATCTTTGTGATGAGAGAGAGAGAGAGAGAGAAGGGAGGGAGGTGGGAGGGAAGAGGGAGAGGAAAAAGGGAAAGAAAGAAAGAGGGAAGAAAGAAAGGAAAGAGGGAAGAGATGGAAGGAAGGAAGGAAGACCAGGAATGGTGGCGCATGCCCATAATCCCAGTACCTTGGGAGGCCAAGGCAGGAGGAATGCTCAAGCGCAGGAGTTTGAGACCCGTCTGGGCAACATAGTAAGTCTTCTTTTTTTACAAAAAAGAAATAGAAAAGTTAGCTGGACACGGTGATGTGCACCTATAGTCCCAGCTACTCAGGAGGCTGAGGCTGGAAGATCACCTGAGCCCAGGGGGTCGAGGCTGCCACTGCACTCCAGCCTGGGCCACAGAGCAAGACCCCAACTCAAAAACAAAATACGAAAAACCCTCCTGCGTCTGACTTGCCAGGGAGGTGCACCTTAATTAGTTAGTAGGTTGATGATTAAGAGCGGATCCTTCATACCTTCACAGGTGGAGTTGCTGGAGAAAAACCCCGCCTGGCAGTTGCAACTGTAGCTCCCCATGGAGTTGACACAGTCAGAATGCTCTGGGCAGGGCCTGGGGCGGAGGCACTCGTTGATGTCTGAGAGGCAGTGAAGGAGGGTGAGAGAGTGAACGTCTACCTTTAGAGGCGCGAGAGTCCAGCCCTTTGGTGGGTGTCCACATTCGGGAGCCCGAGAGCGTTACCCGTGCAGAAGAAGTTGCCCGGCCGTCCCGGGGTCCAGCCATCTCCAGTGGGAGAAGAGAAACCAGGAAGGCAGCTGCATCTATACCTCCCGCGCACGTTTGTGCAGACCGAGTTGGGTCCACAGGGCGAGGGGCTTTGAGAACATTCGTCAACGTCTGGGCAGAGAAAGAGTCGGAGTTGCACGTTTGCCTCATGCCGGGTGGCAGGTTGAGCCTTGCAAAGCTTGTGGAAACACAATCCCCTGTCCCATGTGCTCTTTGTTCAATGTGACCTCGGTCACTCCTTCCACCAAGCAGCGGGGTCTGTGCTCCCTCCCGCGAATCTGAGTGGGCACGTGACTGTGGCGGAGGTGACCCTGGGTCGTCACGACCCCCGCCGGGTTCTCTTGAGAG